TTAGGGTGCGCGGAGAGACAGAGTAGAGAGAGCACACCAGAGAGAGAGAGAGAGAGATGGATGGATCCCCGTTTCCATTTCTAACAGATGGGGGAGGGGGGAAGAAACCTAACAGCAAAGCTTGCATTCCTTATTAGTGAAAGGGAGCAAGAGTCCAGCAGCATCTTAATAACGAACAAAATTTGTGGCAGGATAGGAGCTTTTTTGAGTCACTGCTCACTTCTTCAGATACAGCTAGAATGTGAGTCCATCTGTCCTTATATCTTAGAGAGTTAAATTATTTCAGACACCGAATGACAGTAGCAGGCACTGGTAATGACAGCAAAAACCTAGGTCTCAATTCATTCCAGGAGTTTGCATTGTCTTGAGCAGTCTCTCTAATCTCACTTTGAAATTCCTATGTAAGAGAACTGCTACTCCTAGGTCAGCAACTGAATGTCCTGGAAGGTTAAAATGTGCCCCCCATTGTTTTTTGAATATTGTGGTTTCTAATAGCAGTAGAAAGAGTTAAGAGTCCAGTAGCACCTTTAAAGACTAACAAAATTTGTGGTAGAGTATGTGCTTTTGTGAGTCACTGCTCACTTCTTCAGACTTATTTCCATTGATTCTTTGCATCCTCCTGGACTGAATCCTCCTGTACCAAATTGAGACCTAGGATTCCTGTCTCATTACTGGTGCTGATATCTCCACACCTACTACCCCTCTGCATATCACACCTAATCCAGCCATACCTGCTATTGCCATTCAGCATCTTTATTAAGTTTATATCTCCGGTACCTTGTGTTACATGGTATGGCAAACATGACCTGGCCCGACAAAGTGACATTTATGTCAGATCCAGCCCTCTTAACAAATGAGTTTGACACCTCTGCCATAGGAGATAAGATTGAGACCTTGTGGGACCCCACAGGCCAATGGTTAGAGTCCAAGGGTCTGAGCAGCAATCCTCTAGCACCACCTCCTTAAATCTACCCTCAAGGTATATATTTAGCAACCCTGGGCTTTAAGCACAGAAACACTTTAAGCACAGAAACATCCTTTGAACAGATGCACTGTAATATATCCAGAGCATCTTTTAAGAAGTGATAGCACAGAAGAGCAATTATACATGCAAGTCATGTGTATTGCCTCCTGAAGCCAAAATGTTGCTACCATCTGAAATGAAAACAGATATTCAGACTTTTTGAGCCTTTATAATCAGCCACTGAACCCAAGCAAAATACCCTCGTCTTTCAACACTCATTTGAAAAATGATGGTTCAGTGTCTACTAATTTATTTCCCCCAGCAGGAGTCAAAGCTGTGGAACAAGAAGGGATGCATTGTTCTTTCCACTGACTATTTCCCTTGGAAAAAGAGGGGTGTGGAATTATTTTTTTTCTAGTTCCCAGAGGAAGGGGATGGTGGGGTGGAGCACATTATCATGATAATTAAATTCAAGCAAAACAAATGATTGCTTTTTTGAACAAGCAGAATTCTAATAAAGGTGTCTAATCTAGAAGGATTTATTTCCACAGACACCCATATGCTATTTTAACTGTTACAGGAACACTGCCCTCAAATTACTGTCCAACAAGAATGTTTGTGTATGGGACAGGATCATGACTGCTGCCTCCACTCTCTACACCTGTATGTGTTTGGTATAACCTGGGAACAAGTCTGTCTGTACGGATGTTGCTTGCAAGATTATTGAAATACAAAGCTCACTGGGTGGTGCTAGGTTGGTCATTCTCTTAGTCTAAACCTACCTCAGAGGGTTGTTGTAAAAATAAAATGGGGGTAGGTATAATTCTCCGAACTCCTTTGAGTGAGGCTAGGATGACCATGTAATTAAAATTTAAAATTATTAAAGGTTCCTGAAATTACTAAAATAGTAAACTAAACCTTGCAAATGCAAGGTCATGATTACACCTATGGAACTTGTGCTCCCTTTTATCTGTACAGGCTTTTGTTTACAAGTTGAACAATATACAGAAGGGGACTGGGCAACTAGATATGATCTTAAGTAGTAAGTTATAACCTTTCCTTAGGTAGCTTGGTAGACAGTAACAAAGGAAGGGAGACTTACCTGGGGGGGGGTGGCTTGCAAGAGGCACAGTGATATTGCCAGCAATGTGGTTAATGTTGTTTCTGGCGTGATCTGGAACTGACACCACAGCATCACTGGCAATACTGTTGTATATCCCCAAAGCTCTATGATTTAACCATAGAGTTTTGGGTAAATGCTAGAGCATCCCCTGATGTGATGACATCACTTCTGGTTTGTGCTGGAACTGATGTCATGACATCAAGTGAAAGTGATGCCCCCATATTGTCCCAGGGGACATCTCTTGCCACCCAGATGTGTAGCTGAAGTGAGAGACCTGGATTCCCTATGGCTACACCTGTCACTGTCCATGTGAAATTCATTTGTATGTGGTTGTCTTCTAGAGATACTTTGGTTGCTGTTTCTGAGAAATTCAGTTCAAAATGTCAGAAAAAGCCAAGATATGACCTTTAAAATTCAAAAAGTTTTAGTTTTTTCACCAAAGTAATATTACAAAAACATTTCAATGACTAACCTGAAAAGACATATCATAATGCATGATTAACCACACACAGGAGGCTGACATAATGGGGTCAATTGCGGGGAATGGATTGTGTTGGGGAAGTTAACCTCCTCAGCCATGCCATTTCCCTAGTAGGAATTGGGCCCTCTTGGGCTATTACTAGAGGAAAAAAGAGGCTCATGCATTACATCTGTCCCTTTCCACCTAGTATGTTTAATAGCAGATTAGGAATGGGGCCCTGTTTTACTTGAGGAAATAGTAAAATGTGAGGCTTATCACCCTACCACATTCAAAACCAGGGTCCTTGCAACTGCTTTCTAATATGAAAGTACATATTGGGGAACCATTCTCACAATATATAGCTCAAGTTAACATTGAACTTGGTGTTACTACTATGTGGGGCACTTTGATAAATGAACTGGTGCTTGGAGTCAGTAATGGGCTGGATAGGGATGAACAAGCTGAAACTTTTTAAAAAAATAAATTTATTTTCCATTTCTCTTATGCACAACATAGCATAGTCTTTTTAGTTTACATTTTCCAATATAGAGTAAAATTTAAAGTAAACATAAATTCATCATATATCTCATATACATAACAAAGCATAGTCCATGTGGTTTACATTTTCCAGTAAAGAGTAAAAATAAATATAAAAATAAATTCATCCTACATCCAATATCATATACTAGCATTTCATTCTTTATTGTCTAACTTTTCCCTATCTTTAGCCAGTCATACACTATTCCCCATCTACTCCAAAAAGTCTCTTCTGGTTCCTTTTTTAAATTATTATTCAGTTTGTCCATCTCTGCTACTTCTAAGATTTTATATTTCAATTCTCTTATGGATGGTAAACTCTCTGATTTCCACCTCTTTGCTATGAGAATTCTAGCTGCTGTAAGTATGTATATTATTATGCGCCCATGTTCTTTAGTTGTGTCTGGTAACATATTTAATAAACATATTTCTGGCGTTAATGGTATATTAATTTTTAAAATTTTGGGAAATATTTTCTGTATTTTTTGCCAGAAATTTCGAATTTTACCACATTCCCACCACATGTGAAGGTATGAACCTGTATTCGTTTTGCACCTCCAACATGTTTTGGATGTTCTTGGGTAGCACCTTGCAATTTTTACAACAAGCTGAAACTTAATCCAAACACAAGAAAGGGGTTCTCTGGATTAGTAGAAAGACAGACCAGGGACTTCGGATCTCTTCTATCTTGGATGGGGTTATACCCCTTTGAAAAGCCAGGTTCGCAGCTTGGGAGGCCTGCTTGACACAGCAGTCACCCTAGAAAATTGCTTGGCTGTGGTGGCTTGGATTGGTTTCGCCAGATTCAGCTGGTGCAGCCACTGTGCATGTTCCTGATTCAGTCAGATCTAGCCACAGTGATCTGTGCCTTAGTCACATCTAGACTGGACTATTGCAATGTGTTCTCCTTGGGGCTACACTTGAGGAGTGTACAGAAGCTGCAGCTAGTGCAGAATGCTGCAGCTAGACTGCTGGTCAGGGCCAGCTCTGGGAGCATATGCCCCCAATGTTGCAGCGATCTCTTCCCGAGCCTAATTCAAGGTGTTGTTTTTGTCCCTACATGGCTTGGGACCAGGGTTTCTGAAGGAACATCTTCTCCCATACATTCCTGCCCAGGAATTAAAATTGCCGGGAGAGGCTCTCCTGACTGTCGCAGCAATCAAAGAAGCTCATCTGGTGGACACACAAGAGAGGGCCTTTTCAGTGGCAGCCCCACAGTTAGGGAACAGTCTCCCTAAGGAAGTGTGCCTGGCCCTCTCAGTATTGATCTTCAGGAAGCAGATGAATACAATTTTATTTAGGACTGAATTTGACTGATTCAGTTTCTTTATTAAATTGGCAGTCCTAATTGAAGTTTCTAAATCTAAATTGTGATCTTCTATGTGTTTTTATAATTGTTGTTTTATTTATATTGTTTTTAACATGTTTTTAATAATAATGATATTGTAAGCCACCTTGAGTTCTGCCTGGGAGAAAAATGGCTGATACATGTCTTCAATAAAATAAATAAGTAACTGTGTTCCTCATTCCCCCCCCCCTTCCAGATCTATGGTGGGCAGGACTTTTCTTCACCCAGGCTGGCCCAGCTTTGTGTCCCAAGATCTCCTCAGAATCCTCTGCATGTCTCAAGCACTGGCAACACCATGGCAGTCCGATTCAAAACAGATGTGTCTGTGAGTGGAAAGGGATTCAATGCCACGTGGCAAGAGAGACCTGGAGGTGAGAGTTATAGTGTTTGCTGGGATGATAGTTGAGCATTTCGGTTATCTGCAAATTATAACAAAGCATTAGTCAGGAAAAAGCCCTCGGACTTTAAGGAGTTCCAAAACACTTGGTACGTATTTATGCTGTCCCTCCTTCAAAGAACTCAGGGCAGCATACTTTGTTCTCGCCTCCTCACAGCAACCCTGTAAAGTAGGCTAGACAGAGGCAGTGTTGATGCAGTCCCAAACAGATTTATGTATTTCTGAGTTCATTGCCGTCAGTGGGCTTAAGAAAGGTGTGACTCTGCTTGGGATTGCATTGTGTGAGTGATCCAATGTCAGCAAGCAGGCCTCTGACAGAGTGGTGATTTGAACATAAGTCTCAAAGAGGCTAGTCTGACACCCTAGCCACTGCAGCATGCTGGTTAGCAAAACTTTGTCCTCCTTGGGGTCATCTCATTCTTCCTGTGCTTACTTGTTCAAAGTCTTATCCATGATTAGCGGAACTAGAGATCTGATAAAATGGCAGCTGGCAGGTGCCCTGGAGAATGCTAGAATGTCTAGTGATGGAACCTGAAGCACAGCTTTTTCAAAGCAGGCTTTTCTTCACCTTCAAAAATAGCGTTGAATGTGACCCCTATAATCAGAGAGGGTAATAATAATAATAATAATTGTATGACATTGTGTGTAGAATAGCCTGGAGATCCTAAAACTATCTGGCAGCCAGAAGTTCTAATTTTTTAGCATTATGCTGTGTGCACCACTAGGTGGTGAGCTAGACTTGTTTTTAAGGCAAAGGATGTTTCAGAGGTTGGCTTTCCATTGCCTGCCTCTATGTCATGACCCTGGTATTCCTTGGCGGTTGGCTTCCAAATACTAGCCAAAGCTGACCCTGCTTAGCTTCTGAGATCTAGCCTGGGCTAGCCTGGGATATCCAGGTCAGAGTTTCAGAGAGGGTGATCTTTATTGATTGTCACAGAGGCTAAACTGCTGAAGGTGCAGAAATGGATAACTGCTTTGTCTAGAATATTGGTGGGAACTGGCCACTTTTGTAGCCTTCTGTATTCAGCAAAAACCTCACTTCTGGAAACATTTCTGCCTATGCTTAATTTACTTCTTTGAAAACAAAGGTACTGAGCAGGATTTAACTGCTGGACATGTTTTGCTTTACTTTTGCACAAGCCTAGTATCAAGTTGTGGTGGGCCCAAAAGCACCTAAGGTAAAGGTAAAGGTGGGAAGGATAACAGCGTTCCGTACGCCTTGGTGTTTAGTCATGCCGGCCACATGACTACGGAAACGTCTTCGGACGTCCCTTATTTGTGCAGATACTTTTTGATTTCTTCCAATCCCATTTTGGCAATACAGCTTACATCAAGGGACCACATATTTGGAGGGAAGAAAATGTACCTCTTTGTTCATATTTGGCTATGCCTATACAGTAACAATACACAGGTCCATTTCAACTTCAAGCATGCATAAACTGTCTTTCTGCCTGTCTATTCATATAACAGATATTCATTAACTAATTTCCAGGATGTGGAGGAATTATCCAGCTTCCACGTGGTGAAATCCATTCTCCCAACTATCCTCAGCCTTATAGCAACAACACAGACTGCTCTTGGCTCATCCAAGTGGAGAACGGCCACCATGTTCTGCTGAACTTTACAGATTTTGAGCTAGAATCTCACCGTACTTGCAGCTACGACTATGTTGCAGTGAGTAACAAATCCAGTGGAACTCCACTGAACCATTCAGATTTCTTTTCTTGCACCCTGTCCTCTAGAGTAGTGTATGAGTAGAGTTATTAAATTTCTATCTGTACTATATCAACTATGATGGCTCATTCATACAAGCAGGCCATCACTGGATTCTGCTGACATCGTGATGAGTATGTAAAGCAGATCCTACACTGAGACATGCTGAGCATTGACTCTTGACAAATCTTGAAAGGAATTCTACGGTTGAAGAGCAGCCACCATGAACTCCTTTCTTTGTCCCCTTGCTTTCTTTTCATGGCACACAGGAAACAATATGATCAAGATGGCCTTCTTGGTTACCATTAGAAATCCTGAAAGGACACAGTGGACCATATGCTCTGGCACCAGAGAGACCGATTGGTTCGGGGTTGCATGGGGCAAGCCCCTTGTTGCCATCCCAGTTTCCCAGTGGTTTTGATCCGGGATGCTATCTACAGGGTTACTCCCATTGGAGGCCACCAAGGATGCCTCTCTGTATGCCAGTTGGAGTGCCCACAGTGAGCGCACAACTACAGGGCCTGGAGGATGGACCTTTAGGCACCTCAGACTCCTAAGGCCCATGAGGACAGTGGCAGGAGGTGGGGTGCAAACAGAATGCACCTGGCTAGGAGAGAGGCCAAGAGGAGTGACTTCATTTCAAAGTCTTGAGGAATGAAGGCAGAGAGAAGGAGAGAGAAAGATCTAGGAATGGTTAGAGATGTTGACTAAATAGGGAGTTCTAGCATGGTAAAATTTAATTAATTTGTACCATGGTGCTGCTTTTGATTTTAATATTAGAGAACCATTGATTCCTGCATCAGAGTCATAAAACCAATTCCTGTGTTGGGAGTTATCAGTTGATGTTCCTAAAAGATCATCGGGAATGGAGTACTTTGAGGGTATGCTGTCAAGACATACAAGGCACTGTGGGTTTTTGAATAACAGTGAATTGAAAGATTGTTGGCTGAGTGAGTTAGATCTTGAGTTTTCAGTTCTTTTCCAATGTTTTATAATTATTAAATGCACCTGAGCCCTAAGAGAGGGAATACCATTTTCAGCTCTCATCAAAGCAGCTGGAGACCCCTTGAAAAATAAAATGAACTGTAAAGTTGAGATTCCATCCTTAGAAAGTCTTCTTTTTTAGATTTTTTAAAGAGAAGACTGGGGACATCAATGCATTCTTGGGTGCATGATTTTGTGAAGGAGTGATAGAACTGTTGCTTGTAAATGCACTCCTGAGTAATGAGGTTCCTACACAGATTACTCAAAGTTCTCCAACATTGTGTCTTCTTGCAGTCAGCAGGCCTTTACACATTAAAATCTTTTGCAGTCATTTCTGATGTAATCTTTGGTGTGATTTGGGGGATTATTCTTGTGAAATACATGTGGAAAATGTTGTGTCAGAATCAGTCCTGGAGGACACATCGGCCTTGGACCCGTTCCACTCTGGCTTCCAACCTGGCCATGGGATGGAAATGGTTTTGGTTGCCCTTACAGACATAGGCAATTGAACTGGGGCAGGTATGCACTGCCACCGCCGCTAGATCTGTCAGCAGTGTTTGACACAGTCGACCATGACTTGTTGACCCACTGCGTCACCGCCATTACATGTGACAGCCCTGCAATGGCTGTGCTCATTTCTCCAAGGGTGGGGACAGAGTGTGGTGCTAGGGGAGAGGGTCTCATTGCAACACCCACTAGTGTGCAGGGTCTCTCAGGGATTGATCCTCTCCCCGATGCTGTTTAACATCTATATGTGCACTCTTGCCCACTTAGGAGTTTTGGGTAGGGTGTCATCAATATCAGATGACACCCAACTGTATCTATTAATGGACAACTGACTGAATACCATCCCAGGAGATCAGGCCAGTTGTATGGAGACTGTGGTGGGATGGTTAAAACAGAGCCATCTGAAACTGAACCCATTGAAGATGGAGGTCCTGTGGCTAGGTGGGGGTGGCTCAGGTCAGGGAATTCATCTTCCCACTCTTGACAGAGTACAGTTATTACCAGCTCCCTCCGTCAGGAGCTTGGGTGTGATCCTTGATGCCTCCCTCTCACTGGAGGCTCAGGTCACAAATACAGCCAGGACAGCACTCTTCCATCCTTGCCAAGCCCATCAGTTGATCCCTTACCTGTCCCGTACTGATCTGGCCACAGTGATCCATGCAGCGGTTACATCCAGACTAGACTATTGTAACTCACTCTATGCAGAGCTACCCTTGAACTTGCTGTGGAAACTTCAACTGGTTCAGAATGTAGCTGCATGGGTCCTTACTGGGACCTCTCTGAGAGCACATGTACAGCCTGTGCTCTGCCAGCTACACTGGGTACAGTTTGAGTACCGAATCAGGTTCAAGGTTTTGGTACTCACCTTCAAAGCCCTAAATGGTCTGGGATCATTGTATCTATGGGACCACTTTTCCCTATACACCCCTCAGAAAACATTATGCTTATCTAGTAGTAATTTATTGGTAGGCCCTGGCCCCAAAATGGTCCTCGACTAGGACCAGGGCCTTTTTGGCTTTGGCCCCAACCTGGTGGAACTCTTTCTAGTGAAACTCAAGCCCTGTGGGACTTGGTTCAGTTTCTTAGGGCTTGTAAGACTGAAATGTTCCACCAGGCGTATAGTTGAGGACAATGGTGGCTAAAAATATCACCTGGCCTCCCCATTGTTGGGCCGTGAATCCCACTGTACTGGCTGCCCCCTTAGTTATCCACCTCTGAAGGTTCGTTGGGGTGCCATTTGATATGATTTGATTGATTGGTTTTAAGTTTTAAACTGTGATTCTGATTTATTGTCTGTTTGATTGTTGGAAGCCGCCCTGAGCCCTGCTTGGCGGGGAATGGAGCAGGATAAAAATAGAATAAATAAATCTTCCTGGGTTTTTCATGAGAAAATGGTAGGAATGTAGCATCCCACTTACAGATCCTTCCTGAAACAGCCAGGGAATCCACCCCAAAAGAAACACGGAAGCACAAAAGTCTTAGGGCGAATATCACACTCCTCTTTCTCTGTAGCATTAGTGTTCAGCAGAGGTCATTTCGGGTGGATCGCGGGAGATCGCAGTTCCCCCGGGTGATGTACGGGGGGCGGGGCACATGACGAGCCCCCGCCCCTGCTTCCGGCCGCCCCACTTCCGGCCCTCATTCAGCCAGGAGGAAGCAGGAGAAGAGGGAGGGTAAGTTGCTTCCGCCCTGCCTCTCCCCACCCCTGCCTGCCTGGGGCCAGGGAGGGCCTTCGTGGGGCTTCCTTGCACTCCCGCCGGCCTTGCAGGTCCACCGCAGCACCCCTCATGGGGCTCGGCAGTGGAGCTGCAAGGCCGGCGGCGACCGTTGGGGGCGGGGTGTGTGGCTTTATGACACACTTCCGGTGATGTCAGGGGGTGTGGCCTTATGACACACTTCTGGTGATGTCAGGGGGTGTGGCATATGCTAATGAGTTATGCTAATGAGTTCCCCTAGCTCTTTTTCTACAAAACAACCCCTGGTGTTCAGAGAAAGACAGACAGAAAGAGAGGGAATGCACACAATTTCCAGTGTTATACTGTATACCCCTTGGTTGAGGGAACAGCCCTGTGTTATGTAGCTACTTTCTTTTCCAGCCTTTTTGGGCATAATAAAGTACTTCATGTTCTCTGTTATGCCATTGTTTTTCAGAACTGTTCATTTTTTTGCAAGGAAAGCACACATAAAAAATATTCCATCCATGTGTTTTCCAGCAAAGCAATCTGAGGCTACATCTTCAGCCCAACTTCCCAGCATTTGGAGATGATTTGGGCATGAAGAAATTGAGGCACATTTGGGGGAAGCAAACCAACCTGCTAACTCTAGAAAGGCTTGCATTTATGTGATGCTTTAGGCTTCCTAATTTCTCTGCCGTCTTCAAAAAGTAATGAAAATGAACTTGACAATATTCTGAGATTTAGAAAGTGACAGCGATGTTCTCTGAGGATTGGAGGCCTTATTGTTGTTCCTCGTGAGATTCACCACAATGTGACTTCTAGGTCGAATCTGCATCTAGCATTTGCTCCGCTGTCTTACCAAACCCACACTGGAACAGAAACTCCCATCTACATTACATGCCACTTTCACTTTGATTGACTTTCACTTCATTTGATCTCTGGTTTTATGGTGGTTGTCTGCATAGATTTATGGCCGTTTTATGGCCGTTCAGGGGTAACTCTGCAGTCAGTAGGGCATTAACCTGGGGTATTTGAATGTGGTTTTGAGTCGCATCTTTTTCTGTTCCAGTGTGGGTTTGGTACAACAACAGAGGAAATACTAGATGCAGATTGGGCCTTACCCTCTCGAGACTCACCACAGTGTGACTTTTACCCATGCTGTACAATTTACTGTGTCCTGCAGAAATTCACCTTTCAGTGCATTTCCAGGACGTGGCAATTGTCACTTCTTGCCACGTACAGGGTAATTGTCTGTCGTGCGCTCCCATGACCTGCTCTGCACAATAACATTACCATAGACAAAGTGTATGTGACCATCAGGCTTCAGATAATACATATAAGGATCCAGTAGCTGTAGAAGACATTCAGCATACTGTTAAGTTGCACAAAGTATTTCTCCTGTCATGCCTTGAGTCATATGCTTTTGCAAATGCTGTGATTTCAACAAGTTGTCACTGAGTCATTCACTCATGATTTTTATACTGAGAATGATTCATTTTTCAAAAGACTGATCAAATTTGTAAAATATTGGCAGGATAAAAATATGTTGGTTATTTCGTTCTAATGTGCCTAGTCAGTGATGCCCAAAAAATTGTTGGCAGACTTTTTTTCATCTGGCTATCCTTATTGCCCTGATAGACAACCCAAGCACCAAGGGAAAAATCAAATTATTTCTCAATTTATTAAGAAATAATAATGAAGAGAAAGAGGAGAAGCACGGTGTAGAAGTAGTCTTAGTGATTTTGGGGGCCTGGGCCAAACTCAAGGAAGGGGCCCCTGAATCACTGGAGGGGCCTGCCTATGGCCCCACATCCACCAATGAGGGAGGGAGCAAGAAAGAGTCGCCCCCCCAGTCTAACCAGCTAGAGGGTTGGCTGTGTGCCACCTCCCAGAGCTGCACAGCTGGGTGATCTTTATGGACAGCCAGGTACCTGTACTCCACACCGCATGGCAGATGGCCTTTGCTGGTCAGCCAGGCGCCTCCTGAAGGGCTGGCCAGCAACCAGGGTGCCTCCACCCTATGCCTCATGGTGGGACTGGGGGGCTTCAGGGAGGTCGAGCACAGGCCTTGGGGCAGCTGTTCCAGATGCCCTCAGCCTAAGACCACTCCTGCATCAGTGGGTGGGAGAAGGGAATGTATGATCTTTCCTGTGCCCATTTATTTTTCCTTGCAGATTCCCTCAAGCCTTTTTTTTTCTCCTCCCAGCCAGCCTTACTTCTGGTCTCAAAGCCTGGCTGGGGAAAAGAAAAAGGCCGGGATCTGACTTTGCAATATTTGCAGGAAAGACTCAGTCAGTATGAAAGGGTTAAATGAACCCCTGTGAGGAAAACGAGAAGTGAGAAGTCGCACACACAATGAATCTGACCCTCAGCATCTTAGTGACATCTATGCAGTATCATTTGAGGGGCCTGTTCCTAAAACTTGAAATTTGCTTCTAGGAATCCATGGCCTCTCCCTGTTGTTACTTCAAGCAGTTGTTATTTTATTTATTTATTTATTTGAATTTATATCCCGCCCTCCCCGAAGGCTCAGGGCAGCTTTGTTATTCAAAGACACACTGCTTCCAAAGTTTCGTATACAGAGGCAAATTATGTCATTGTATTATTTATTAATGTGATGAATTGTGTTTTATGTATTATGGAAATTTTTATGCTGTTGTGAGCCGCCCTGAGCCAGCCGAGGCCGGAATGGGCATGATAGAAATCAATAAAATAAAATAAAATAAAAAATAAATTAGTACTGAGTGCGAATTGTGGAGGAGGGGGGGAGTCTGGGGAATGGCCTAACTGCCATGCTCTGCTTGTAGATCTTCCAGGAAGTCTGTTTGGCTACTGTAGGAACAGGATGTTGGACCCAAGGGACCATTGGTCTGATCCAGTAGGCCTCTTCTTTTGGTCTTGTGTTCTAAAACAAACTAAGAAAAAACACTAAAAAAATTCCCTTCAAAATGTGCTTGAAATACCACATGCTGAAAAATGACTAGTCGGGTACTAATGTGTTTTTGTCAGACACATTTTTGCCTCTGTTCCAGACACAGGTGACGTACTAAATGTAAGACCAAGCTGAGATGTTCCATTAAAAAAAAAAGTTTAATGAAAAAAATTAAACTTTTGTGAGATTTCATATTCAGTCCAATTTTTGGTGGGTTTTTTCCTAACTAAATATGTAAATATTAGACAAATCAATATAATCACAACATTTACATATTTAGTTTGTGGTTGTTGTTTTTCAATCCAAATACAGGTTTTCCTTTGCTTATCCAGATTCATTATTAGCATACATCACTGCATTCAGATTATAAAGTGCAAAAATCAATAAAACAAAGACAGAACCAATATAAAATGAAAACAGCAGCAACTGAGCATGTATGGAAAGCAGTCACAGATAAGCCCTTTCCAGTTACTTGCATCATGAGTTACTAGTAATAAACAGATATATTCAACACACCAAATAAGAGAGCAAAAACTGTCAATATTGGGAGATCAGTCACAAATATTGCTAGAAAATAAATGTCCCAGTTGGGATAGGCATCTCTGCTATCACCAGTTACAGCTGTTGCATAAGTCATTCCTCTGTCCTTATCTGTATACTCCTCAGATTTGCCTAGAAATGTCACAAACCAGGCCTTTTTGTCCATTGTTCACCATTTTTCTTTTTTCTCTTCATGTGTCTAAAGATCCTAAGGACTGTCTGAGAATACAGTTTACTGCATCTGACAAACTGAGGTTAAGCCCAAGAAAGCGTATGCTTTGATAAATGTGTTAGCCTTTAACTTTCACCAGGACTCTTTGGTTGTTTTATAACATGCTGAAGTTCTAAACTTTAATTCCACACTTTGTTCTGTCATGCAGGTGTTTGATGGGCCCAGTGGTAGTGCTCCACTGCTTCGAAAAGTCTGTGGTGGGCAGCAGCCTTCTCCTATAGCATCTACCCTGAATATCATGTATGTGCGATTTCGCTCGGACAGCAGCATCCATCGCAGGGGCTTCCGTGCCCTTTTCGCTGAAGGCAAGTTCCTCGCTGCCATGAGCATATTTTCATTCTGATCATTTGCCAGTTCTTTTAATAAGAGAGAAGGTTTTATTGTATTTAGCCATAGCCCATTACAAACCACAGACAGAGAAGAACACAATAAAACATAACAATTGTATAAAATAAGATACAGTCCAAACATTATAAATCCATAAAACCGAGGTTATGAACAGTTAATTAATTCACAACATACCCACTAAAATCAGTATTAGGTAGGAGCAGCGTTGGCCCGTATTTTCCTTGCAGCCAGGGCAAATAGAGCCATTCTATTGGATACATTGGCATTGGCATCGGCTAGCAAAAATATAATCTTCTCTGGGACTGAGTAAAAGCTTAAAACTGATAAAATACCAGATAAAAATCTTGACCTAGGCTGGGAGTACAATGAGCAATCAAAAATGTAATGGGAGAGATCCTCAATAGCAGAAGAGCCACAAATACATAAACGCTGTGCCTTGGGTGTTCTACTATAGCGGCCGACCAATACGGCCGTAGGCATTGATTCAAAGCACAGAGATGTAAAAGCTGCTCTAAGGTTATGATTATCTATATTAACCAGATAAGGTGATCTAAAATGATCATTCTTAAATGATTTAAACCAGGTAGCAGACTGTGTTTTTAAAATTGTCTATCTAGCAGAGCATCATGCTTAAATACCCATTCTCTGAGATCTGAGTTATTTGTTGAGGAACTAAGGAGGTCGTTAGTTCTTTTAATAGCAACAAGCACACAGGGAACAGGGCTAAGTTAGGTAAACACAGAAAACACCATGTTGAAATAATACTCACAATATTCACATGCACTTATAGCTAAATATATTTGATTTATATCCACAACATCAACTCTAGTGTATTGTAAATACTTTCAAACTACAACATCAACATTTCAAACACTTTCAAACTAAATTACATAACACGAAGAGTCCATAACCGCAGAAACCCACTCCAGTATAAACTGTCTTCTTCCTGATGGAGAATAGATACCAATGTACAGTAATGTGTACCAAATAATGCAGCAACCTATTGCACATTTCCCAAGTGATGATCCATCAGGAAAAGCTAGCAGGCAGCTTGTATTTCTCACTGTGATGATTCAGCTTAGCCAGCAAGCCTAGTAGATGTATTTTCCCATGAGGTGATTCAGCTAGCAAGCAAGCCTAGCAACACGCCTCCCGGGCATAACCTGCATGTTTTGAACAAATCTTCAGGCATATAAACTTTCCTGGAACCACAGCTCTTGAATTTACTCCTGCATAAGTCAGATAATGTAAAAATGGCTGTTCTGGTTCTTCAAGACCAGCTCTTTTAGTAGGCCTGACCATTTCTCATCCTAGAGATCTGGTAGGGCTTTACAGTGTGATCTTAAACATGATCTTCATGTCTGTGCACAATCTTATACAAGTAAATTCTGTGAGGCTTACTCCTGGGAAAATATTCTTAGGCTTGCACCTTTGGAGTCATTTCAGCCCGTGCCATGTTGTATCAGAAGTTGTTTTTAAAGTTATGTATCAAAAGAGCATAAGGATACAGTGTAGGGTTGGCAGGTGCCCTCCGAGGGTGAGTTGCAACTGTCATGTTTTCTCTACATTCATTTGCAAGACAAGGAGAACATTTTCCTGATATTTTCCATATGTGGTTTGAATATCAAAAAAATGTTCAGCACAACCTGGTTTTTGATGTAATATTGAAATGAAAAGCTTACGTGAGCATTTGTCTGGAAGACTGAATGAAGCTGCAATCCCAAGAATATTTTCCTAAGAATATTTTCCTAAGAATAAACCCACTGAATAACATGGGACTTATATCTAGGTAGAGGTCTTTAGTATTGCCCCCTTAGAGAAATGGCTCTCTCTTCCTTACCAGGTTTAGGATGCTGTTGAAATCTGTTTCATTTGTTAGTATAATCTCTGGGGTGGGTTTAAAAAAAAATTACCATGCTAAAGCATTTTATTACAATAGATTCTAAAAAGGTAAAGGTAAAGGTTCCCTTGCTCGAAAGCCAGTCGAATCCGACTCTAGGGTTGTGGTGCTCATCTCCGTTTCAAAGCCGAATAGCCAGCGCTGTCCGAAGACGTTTCCGTGGTCATGTGGCCGGCATGACTAAACACCAAGGCGCACGGAACGCTGTTACCTTCCCACCGAAGTTGTCCCTATTTATCAATTTCTTGCTTTCGAACTGCTAGGTTGGCAGGAGCTGGAACTAGAGACTGGAGCTCACCCTGTCTTGCGGCACCCGGGTCTTGAATCGCTGAACTACTGACCTTCCACAGCCTGCAGTTCAGCGTCTTAACCACTTGAGCCACCGCAGCTCCACAATAGATTCTACCATGCCATAAACATAAATTTGTCCAGGGTTGCTCCTTCATCAATTCTGGCATCTTATATAAAGCTGTAAACTAAAACCACATGGTTGTGATTTAAAGTTCTTGTGTTATATATTAGTTGTAAATAAATATTCTTGTTGTAAATGATAGTTGTAAATAAATATCATGCAAATACTTGTAAATAAATATTCTTAAGAACATAAGAGAAGCCAATGTTGGATCAGGCCATTGGCCCATCTAGTCCAACACACTGTCACACAGTGGCCAAAAATACCAGGTGCCATCAGGAGGTCTACCTGTGAGGCCAGGACACTAGAAGCCCTCCCACTAAGAATACAGAGAATCCCTTGCCCCAGCCTGACAGTTCCTATCTATACCTTGTGGCTAATAGCCACTGATGGACCTCTGCTCCATATGCTTATCTAATTCCCTCTTGAAGCTGTCCATGCTGGCACCCGCCGCCGCCTCCTGTGACAGTGAATTCCATGTGTTAATCACTCTTTGGGTGAAGAAGTACTTCCTTTTATCTGTTCTAACCCGACTGCTCAGCAATTTCATTGAGTGACCACGAGTTCTTGTATTGTGAGAAAGGGAGAAAAGTACTTCTTTCTCAACCTGCTCTATCCCATGCATAATCTTATAAACCTCAGCTGTCATTTCTCCAAGCTAAAGAGCCCCAAGCGTTTTAACCTTTCTTCATAGGGAAAGTGTTATCATTCTAGTTGCCCTTTTCTGCACTTTTTCCAATTCTATAATATCCTTTTTGAGGTGTGGTGACCAGAACTGTACGTAGTACTCCAAATGAGGTTGCACCATTGATTTATACAGGGGCATTATGATACTGGCTGATGTCTTTTCAATTCCCTTCCTAATATCCCCAGCAAAGCGTTGGCCTTTTTTATTGCAGTTGCACACTGTCTTGACATTTTCATTGAGTTATCTACTATGACGACAAGATCTCTCTCTTGGTCAGTCTCTGCCAGTTCGGACCCCATCAACATGTATTTGTATTTAGGATTTTTGGCTCCAATGTGCATCACTTTGCACTTGGCCACATTGAACCCCATTTGCCACGTTGATGCCCACTTGCCCATCCTCGACAGATCCCTTTGGAGTGCCTCACAATCCTCACTGGTTCTCAACACCCTGAACAACTTCGTATCATCTGCAAACTTTTCATCTCCTGTCGGCTTTCCCCCAATATTCAGTTTAAAAACTACTCTGCTACCTTTTTGATTTTAAGCGCCAGCAGCCTGGTTTCTTCTCGGGACAAGTGGAGACTGTCCCTTTTGTACAGTTCTCTCTTGTTCCAAAAAGCATCCCAGTGCCTAAAAAACTTGAACCCTTCCCCCCTACACCATCATCTCATCCACGCATTGAGACACTTGATCTGTGCCTGTCTTTCTGGCCCTACACGTGGAACAGGTAGCACTTCCGAGAAGGCTACCTTGGAGGTCCTGGTCTTGAGTTTCCTGCCTAGCAGCCTAAATTTTTTCTTCCAGGACCTCACAACTTCATTTTCCCACATCGTTGGTGCCAACATGTATGATGACCACTGGCTCCTCCCCAGCACTATCTACCAGCCTATCTAGAACATGCGTAATGTCCACTACCTTCGCACCAGGCGGGCAAGTCACCATACAGTCAGTATGCGAGTTCGCTACCCAGCTGTCTACCTGCCTAAGGATCAAATCACCAGCTACCAAGAGCCCCCCTCCCTCTCTCCCTCCCTCCCTCCCTCCCTCCCTGCCCAGGGATGGTTCCTTGGTGTGAAAGGATACCCGTTCACCAGTTGAAGAAGAGGTCCCTTCTGAGGGCACATTCCCCTTATCTGCAGCACAGTGCCCTGTTTCCCCTCGACTCTCATGCTCCCTGACAGCAGCGGGGCTGCCATATTCAGAGTGGGACATATCTAGCAAGTCCCCTAGAGTCTTCCTGTGCGCCTAACTGACTGTCTCTGCTTTTCCAGGTCAGCCACTTTGACCTCAGGAGAGCAAACTCGTTCCCTGAGAACCAGGAGCTCTTTGCACCAGGCACACACCCAAGACTTCTGTCCAGTGGGCAGATAGTCATACATGTGACATGCCGTGCAAAACACTGGGTAGCCCCCAACCCCCTACTGGCATTCTGGCTTCATAATTGCTTTTAAAATAATAATTATATATAAAATCCCCTTTTTAAAACCCTTTGTATTTATGTGGTTCTCCTTATAAAAGTCTGCTTACCTTACTGAGCTTTCTGGCTCTTCCTGGGCTTCTTACAGAGCCCCTAGGCTATGAGCCACAGGCCAAGAACCCTTTGGCACGAGCCTCTGGCAAGGTGCTGCCTTAAATAGAAGCTTCCCCCAGCAGAGGGTGTGGCCAGCAGCTATTCAAAATTCACTTAGGCACTCAATTACAGTCAAACAATGACCCTTTCACAACCTATCTCAAGCAGCCAGGACTCTGCAACAACTTACAACTCACCCACACACTCCCAAACACAGTACCTCTCAGCTAAATCACCTCAGCTGAAAGTAAATAAAAAACACCCCCTCTAGAAGCGCTATCTCCTTCTCCTTCTCAGAGATCAGCTGGGTCAGCTCTGCTTCTGGCAAGGTGCTCTTTTCTTGTAGCTTGCTAGAACTGACGTATATATTCCAGTTCTGAGGGAAGGGGATGTAGGCTTGGTTTGGGCAGGGGGAGGACCTCAGAGAGGTATAACAGCATAGAAAGCAGCCATTTTCTCCAGGGGAATGGGTCGTTGTGGAGTTGTAATTCTGGGAGATCTCTAGGCCCCACCTGGAGGATAGCAACTCTACAGTGGTCTGACCCAGCAAAATGCAGTTTCATATCTTCATTGACTTTGAACAAGCCGGGTATCTGTCCTTCATAACAAGTGGTCTTGTCAGATTCGGCAGAACCACAGGAAGCTATGTATTTCCATGTTAGATCTAATTTTGTCACATTTCAGTAGCAGCTTTATATATACATTAACACACTTGTCTTTTTGTGCTTTATTCTACAGCATGTGGAAGTGTCTTAGAAGCTGATTCAGTTGGGGCAGCCATTTCCTCTCCTCTGTATCCAGCCAAGTACCCAAACAATCAGAACTGTAGTTGGATTCTTCGGGCCCAGGAGCCCTGTAAGTTAAAATACGCATACTTCTCTAGCTGAATGACTAACATCCTCCTCTCATCTGTAATAACAATACAGGATCCCTTCTTTTCTTCTCTGTAGGAAGTCCTGCATCCTGGTAGATCAGCAGGCCAAGGCCTCCTAGGGTGGGGCAGGTTTTAATGCAAAACAATTTAGGATTGCAAAATGCATGTATGCAAATGCATAAATGCAAAAGAATGTGTATGAAGACCAATTAAGTAAATTGAATTCATTGTAGGCAAGGAAACTTCATATGTTTACAAGAGATTGCTGTGCAATTATGTATGGCCAGTAGTTCCGTTTGTTTGTTTTTAAACTTAAATTCATATATAAAAACTACTAATATCCTCATGCATGATTTTCACTTTTGTATAATTGTAGGTAGATTTGATACCCGGTATAAAGGAACATTATTTTCCCTAGACAATGCAATATATTTGTGCTAGTTATAGAACTTGCACTCAGATGCAAATCCTTCTTTTCTTTAAGGGATTACGTTGATTCCATATGAATATTAAAAGGAATTAAAATCCAGTTTATTGTGTACTGAATCTTGCTCCCATATTTAACAATTTAGGTTGATTAGAAGGATCCCATTGCTCTACTTGTAAATTAAATTGTGATAACTTTTATTAACTAATTACAAAGGGAAGTGAGTAGACATCTGCTAGCTGGAAGGAGTGATCTTCACATACATACCAGTATGTATAACCCATGAAAATTCAGTTTAACTGCCCTGATAGCCCAGGCAAGCCTGATCTCATCACATCTTGGAAGCTAAGCAGGGCCGACCCTGGCAAGTACTTGGGTGGGAGACCTCCAAGGAATACCAGGGCTGGGAAGCAGAGGCAGTCAATAGTAAGCCACCACTCTGAAACGTCCAAGTCCCACTAGGGGTCACCAGAAGTCAATCATGACTTCCAAGTGCACGCGTGCGCCCACACCCACACACCTCACCAAAAGAAAGAAAATTCAGTTTAGCTCTACTTGTGTGAAAAGCAAAAATATTCATTGTGCTTTCAATTTTCTTCTGTCAACAGTCAACCACATCACGTTGTCATTCACTGATTTTGCAACTGAAGATGTCAGGCGTAATTGTACCACAGATTATGTGGAAATTCGAGAAGGGGATAATTCTGATGCACCTCTGCAAGGTATACTAGCATTTACTGACCATCTTTGAAAAAGCAGATTTAGAGTCAGAAGTGTGATGGGATGATTGGCCCTCAAGAATATAAAGGACAAGAAGGGAGAGCCGTGATACTCGCGGGGGGGGAAGAAGCTCCATGGGAGGAGAAAGAAGCAGCTGCAGGTGAGCCTTCTCCCCTGCCCCCCCATCCTTGGCACCCACGGTGAGGCCCGCGCCCCTCCAAGCCTTCTTCCCCGGCAGCGAGGCCTCAGCTCGCCCCCCCAAACTTTCTTCCTCCCCCCCTGGGTGGCGGCGAGGGCTGAGCGGCTTACAGCCACCAGCCGGCCAAGCCTTCTCCCTCCCCCCTCCCCCCCTCTCTCTGGTGATGGCAGCGGCAAAGCCGTTTTCAGAGTGTTCCCTGTGCCTGCGCAGGGAATGCTTCTTTACTTGTGGGGGGATTTAAGTATCCCCCCTATAGTTTTTTACAGTTTTTAGATTTTTTGCACATCTGGGGATTGCCCCAAATGTGCAGGAAAATCTCCCTGCCCCCCAGGTGCCCCCGATGTGCGGATTTAGATATCCACACGCAGGGGGCACAGTTGGGAATTAGATATATAGATATGTATGTATTTCAGAAACTGCTGTACTCAAAGTTCCATAAATAAATGTCAAATGTCATAACAGGATGCCTCACAATAGATTGGTCACTATAACAAATCGTAGCTTTGTTCACCTGGTGAAGAATGTGTCTGCCCAGTTGCTTACTAGAGCAACTTTTTGTTTTATTTTTCTTATAGCAAATGAGTCTTCTAGGTTATTCATTATTTATAGAAACTGAAACATGGCTTCTGCCACTTAGTCTGCATTGAAAAAAGGTGTTGGGGTCTAAAAAAGTGACACTTGCCAGAGGTCTGTATACGACCAGTGATGAAATTCAGTTATAGTTGTTGATTAAAGATAAGGCAGGAGGAAAAGTCATATTCATACTCTGTCATCTTGCCAAAGGTAAAAGGGAAGAGGGCAGAGATACCATTGGGCATGAATAAGCAGAGTTACATTGAGGTTAATAGCCGGGGGGGGGGGCATTGGGACATTGCCTTAATTCCCTCTGGTAAAATGTGGAATTGTTTTCTGTATGGCCAGGGACCAGTCTACCTAAGGGACCGCCTTACCCCACATGTTCCCCCAAGGGCACTACGGTCGGGGAGCCGGAACCTATTGGAGGTACCGGGCCCCCGGTCCATCAAATTAACCATGACCAAGAACAGGGCGTTTTCGGTGGCGGCTCCTATCTGGTAGAATGAGCTCCCAGAGGAGATCAGGGCTCTGCGGGACTTAGGACAGTTCCGCAGAGCCTGCAAGATGGAGCTCTTCCGCCAGGCTTTTGAATAGGAGCCGCCACCACCACTAGACCACCAATGTATCAACATACCATCGACACCCGGGAGGACATCTGGATATGGGCATGGATTGCCAAAGCCCTAAATACTCTTTTTTGCATCATGGGCAAGACTGGGACATTTAGAGGACCGCCATCTTGGTTTTAGCTAGCTTGGTTTTAGCTAGCTTTGTTTTAGATAGGTTATAACCTATGATGAAATTTAATATTTTGTATTGTTTTTACTGTTTTACTGTTTTATTAATTATATGTTGTTAGCCGCCCTGAGCCTCCGGGGAGGGCAGGATATAAATGTAAACAATAAATAAATAAATAAATAATGGAGAACATGGATCCTGGAATCTGGATACTGGTGGAGATCTTTTGCTTAGGCAAGAGCTCCTGGGTGATCTAGAAATATTTATGCCAAGTCCACCAGAACCAAATATTCAGACACAGTGACAATGAGTTTACCCTGTCCTGTGGTCTGTGTAGATTTTATAATAGTTACAGAAACAAAACTTATGGTTAGCAATCAGGCATTCACAGATAGAACTGGTACCCTGAGATTTCATAGAGCTGGATCCAGCCAGCTTTTTCACCCAATTTCATCCATTCTCCTGCCTACTACAGCCCATGTCCCACATGGTTTTTGTCCATGAAGACTGCATAATCCCCTAGGGTTGCTAGAATCCCCAGTGGAGGCAGGGGTCCCCCACCACCAGGCCCTGCCCCCTAGCCGCCAATCAACCGGCTTGCAGGGGAATTACCAGGAGAAAGAGGAAGGCCCAGGCCATGTTGCCAGTGTTGCATGGGAAGTGATGTCATCATGCTACTGATGTCTGGGAAGTGCTCTGGTATTTGGGCAAAACTTCAATGGTAGAAGCCATTTTACCATAGAGTTTTTGCCCAAATACCAGAGAATCACAGTGGCATGCCATCATTTCCTGTGTGATGCCAGTGACATGGCCTGGGCTTTCCTCTTTCTCCTGGTAAGTACCCCCCATCCCAACCAGTTGCCAGGAGGGTCCTGGCAACCCTATTATCCACAGAAAAGCTGGTTGGATCCAACCCATAGCCTTGTTGTGCCTCACTGGAAAGGTTTGGGTCATGCAGCTCAAAGAAGCTTAGATTAGGCTCTTGTGATGGTAAATGTGCCTAAGAGAAACAGGATGGGAAAGAAGCACTACAGAAAAGCTTTCTATAGGTTTCTTATATTGTTTTTGCAGGGCGATACTGTGGCACCACTATGCCACATCCCATTACTTCTTTTGGCAGAGCTTTGTCCATCAACTTCATCTCTAATAATGTTGCTACTGCCAAAGGGTTTCATGCGATGTTTGCTGCATCAACATCTGGTAAGCCTTCTAAAAAAAGAATGCTTCTAAAAAAAGAATGTCGAGGAGGGCAGGATACAAATTTAAATAAATAAATCAGGAACTCTCAGGGTTGGACTACAAAAAAATTGAGTAAATGTTCTGACACTAGAAATCCAATAGAGTTAGCTGGTGAAGATCAGGCAGGACTAACAGGGTCTGTAAGTAGTTGCTTAGCCAGTTAACAAGTATGGGAAAGAAAGTATGATCTGCATGAAATGATTTATTGGCTGAAACCAAGGGTCAGTAGACAGCTGCTCTGGGGGTAGGTTGTGGGTTAGGGAAAAGTGCATCTGTGAATGGGCCATTTCTGTATGTATTCTAAGCCTGATAAAATTTCAGGAAGCTAAAGCTTTAGAAACTGTGCAAATGCTTTTCCAACAAATGTAGACTCGAGTTTACTATCTGTGCAAGCCAAAAATCGCTACTTAAATGTAAGGTTCTCCCTTTGCACCGTACCATTTTATCATGTTCGGCACACTGCTCTTCTGGTTTGATGCAAAAGTCCCAAATGGAGAGAATGAAAGCTATGGCTGTGCTCTTTGTCAGTCTGACAACTTGTTTGACTAGAGAATTAGAATCCCTTGTTTCCTGTAGCTGGGATTTCCTGTTGTTGAGTCATACAGCTGAAACGAAGGTAGCTTCTTTTGCCAAGAAGCTACAGAACAGGGACTCCCATGTTTTCTCAGCTATCAACCCCCCACCCAATAAAAACCCAATCACTACTCTTCATACATTTCTTGCTGACTTTTTTTCCTCATTGCAGCCTGTGGGGGTGTCTTCCATATGGAGAGAGGAGCCTTCAACAGCCCCAGTTTTCCTGAACCTTATTCGTTGAATGTTGAATGTGTCTGGAACATTCCAAGCTCCCCTGGCAACCGGCTCCAGCTGTCTTTCACGTAAATCAAATTTCCAAAGGGTTATTGTTCAGTCTTTTAATGGAGCTGCAGGAAGGAAATGCTGTGTTTAGTAGCAAATGTAATTACAGCATGTAAAATTGTAGCAGTGCCCACAACAACTTGGAAAGAGAACACAGTGGCAGCCGTAAAGGGCTTGCCATCAGTTTCCTCTGGTGTACATAAAAGAGTGAATAACATGGCAGACTTTCCGGCTATTATGTTCTATGTCACACATGCCACCTTCTTAGTGTATCATAAGCAAGCAGAGCCCATTAATGACAGCTTCTTCTTTTGCTTCTGTGGGTTTTCTTGCAAAATTAACAGTTCAGCTTCCATATTGGCTCTATTGCAGAGGTGAAAGGGTACAGGAGATTTTATTAGCCTAACAAAGCATAAATCATAGGACAAAGGGACTTCAAGTTGAACTGAGCTCCTGCTTCTAAATGCTTTTACCCTAGTCCAGGGTCTCCCATAGCCTAGAGTCCCATGAGTTCAGTGAATGGCACAGTGCAATTAAGAAGTTTTCTCTTTTTTCAGTGAAGACGTGGCAGCACCTGGTGCACAAAGTAGTAAGTGTAAAGGCAGCTTTATTGGAAATCATGGGGAAACTCTTGGCTGCATGCATTCAGGTGCCTTGTGCACAAAATGCAGGTGCAGGATAGGGGCAATTATGGACTAATTCACATATTACCAGAGAAGGCCTATTGAATTACATAGTTGAATTACATAGTTATTTCCCAAGAAAGGGTTTCTTTTGCATATGGGATAGGGGATACTGATGTGGCAATCAAGCCTCCTTGATGGCTTTATCAGAAAGGTAGGATATAAATTTGTAACACACAATTTTTTAAAATCACATAATTCACCCAATTGACGGTTTCTTCTCACAGATGTTTCTAGCTGAGAGAGGCACTGGGGCTGTAGTTCCCCCACCAGCCCTGTCATGTGGGAATGAGGCCAGTGTAGAAACTGAGTTCCAAGGAAATCATCACTGGTGGATGTATCAGTGTATTATTCCCATGTAAATTCCATGTAAACGGCAAAGCTAAGTAGAGCTTCTTAGAAAACACAGAGAAAATTATTTCAAAATATTTGAGTTCTAAATATGCACTCCCTCTTTCCTACCTCCACCCAGTTTATTTTTATGTAGGAAGATAAAGAATTGGTAATACAGTGTTGTAGGTTGTATGGAGAACAAAACTCTAAACAACAACAGAGCACACGGGATAGTGATGGGCATGAACTGCATTTTTGCCATTCAGTTTGGTTTGTGGTTTATGAACAAAACTCTAAACAACAACAGAGCACACAGGATAGTGATGGGCATGAACTGCCTTTTTGCCATTCAGTTTGGTTCTTGGTTTATGCCTGAACCATGAACTGAACCATGAACCTATATGAACTGGGAGGTTGGTTTGCAAACCAAACTGGTTTGTATGGGTTCATGATAACCCTTGTTTTCTGCTCCCTGCCACTTTTCATGGGGAGCAGCTTGCTCCACACGGCTCAGCTGTTTGAAGCGGCTTTCTTGGACAGTGAGCCCCAGGGACTGGCTGCCCAAGGAAACCCCTTTAAACAGCTGAGCTGAGGAAACAGGCTGCCCCATGGCTAAGCTGTTTCTGATCTAAACAGCTGAGTGGTCGGGAGCAGCCTGCTCATGGCTACTCAGCTGTTTTGGCAGCTTTTCATGGGAAGGACCTGCTTTTTACTCCCCATAAATCCACAGACCTCCATGAACTTTAAAAGTTCGTGGAGTTTCGTGGCTGGGCTGCAGTTTGTGAACTTCAGTTTGTGAACCACAAACCACCCAAAATTCGTCATAAACAAAGGTTCATGAGCTGGTTCATACCCATCCCTAATACAGGATGTGAACCCCTTTTGGAGAGGCAATCAATAGATTAACACAGCAACCCCTCTAGACTTTCTCTGAGCAGATGCAGCAGGAGGAATCAAGCTACTAAACTTGGCCAGAGCCATACTGAAATAGCTGTGTCTCAATCTGACACCTAAATGTCATTATGGAAGGATAGGCCTTCCATGGAAAGCAATTTGAAAGCTTGCTGAATAGGGATGTCAACTCTAACTTGGGAAATCCCTTGAGGTTTGGGGGCAGTGCCTGGGGACGGTGGAGTTTGGGGAGGGAGCTCAGTGGGGATGTGATGTCGTAGAGCCCATCCTCCAAAGCTGCCCCTCTCTCATGACAGTTTGGTGAGATTTTGGGGGAGGGGGCCTCAGGTGGGGCGCCAGCTAATTAAATCAAAGCACAATGCAGATGGCAAGTTGGGGCACTTTGGGGGCAGCCCAGGAAGGAGGGGGCACAGAACAAAGACTAGGAGGCCAGGCCCCGTGGGCCCCACGGTAGCTACGGGCCAGCTCATGACTAATCTTGGGCCAGTCAGCCACGCCTACTCACCTTAACCTACCTTACTCAGTTGTGAGGATATTATATCAGAGGTAGGAGAGGAGAATTATATAAGTGGCTTTCAGTCCCCATTGGTGAGAAAGGTGTGGTGTAAGCAGAGTAGATGAAATAAATCTATGCAGCAGTACAAAATTGCTTCTATGAACAAATATACAATAAAAATTGAAGCAGAGGATGTTACTTCAATACACCTTACAGTAAGACAATATAGTTTATGGTGCAGCCCTAAACTTAGTCACATCTAGTCCTAGTGTATCTACCTGTCAAAGTTAACATCCTAATTAAGTAATAATCTCAACCTTTTCAGGAGGTAACCATGTTGGCCTGCAGTTTAACAGCTAGGTTTGAGTCCAGTAATACCTTACAGACCAACAAGAACTTTGTGGTATAAGCTTTCAAGAGTTAAGGCTCTCAGTATCTAAATGGACTCAAATTTAGCTAATCTTGACCTTGTTAAAATTAATAACAACACTCACCCATATACCCAAACCAGAGTCAGTGTGCCCATCATTTCTTAAGTGTAAGTAATTATTTACCAGGTTTTCATAAGGGAAAGAAAACTCAAGAAATAGTGGAAGGTCTTTGATTGGTCTATAAGATGTTATTTATTATATGCATATGTTCACCTCATCTATTAACAGTTTTGCTGCCATTTTGCCAAGACTTTTGCCAGAACTATTTATCTTTTGAATTCTGGTCCTGCAAAATTGGTCATCCCACATGTTCTGGGTGTCAGCTTTAAATTAGCATGAACTAAATCCAGATGGGAGTTTGGTTCTGTTTCATAGTGCCCTGGAGACCATATGGATCCACTCAAGCTGGAAGGAAATCTGAGAGCAGAAACATTTTGTACATTAATTTTAGAAAACCTTTCTAGTTTATTTTATTTTTCTATTCATGACTAATGTTTGAAAGAAAAAAATAGTTACAATAAGTTCTCTTAACTTCTAATATTCAGGTCAAATAATTCAGGTTCAAATTATTTGAAACAAAAAGGGGGGGGGACTTAACCCTGAAACCTGGAAACCAGAACCTAAAAAGGTAAGTCAAACAGAATAGAGGGCCAACAATAAAAACTTAATGTTTATAATATAAAAAGATACATGTATTTATTAGCAAAGAATTAAAAAACATATAAGGGCCCAATCACGCCTCATGTAAAATTGCCAAAATCTTACACACAAGGGCCAATGACCTGACACATTTGGGCCTGTATAGCCCTTCTTCAGAGGTCAAACACAATGAGGACCAATTGGCTTATATCATAATACAATACAATCATACAATTATGTAACATGGATACAAGATGGACCAGAAAAAAAATTCCTGTAATTTTTTTTAATGTGAAATTAAATACATATAATAAAATGAATAAATAAACAATACCT